AGGCCGTCTTGTGTTGATCTTCAGAGGCTACCTCGATCTGATGATAGTCGGACTGTAAGTCAATTTTATTGAAGTACCTGCATCCTTGCAATCAATTTAGAAGTTTGTCAATTCGAGGGAGAGGCTCAGTATTCTTAACAGTGACCGCATTCAACCCTCGGTAACCAATACAGAGTCGTAATTCACCTTCCTTTTGGGGAACAAACAAAACAAGAGCCCCATAAGGAGATGAACTAGGTCTGGTCCATCCCTTATTAGTTAGTTCCCGCAATTGCTTTCTCAATTCATTAAGTTCCTTTGGGGAAGTACGATAGATTGGTCTTTTGAGAAATTTACTTCCGGGAATAATCTTAATGATATGTTATTTCTTCCTTGTTGTTACCCTCGTTGGTTCATTTTGGAAGTCCTCATATCCGTCAAATAGTTTTTCAATAGGAGGGTAGGAGGAACATTCTCCGACAGTCTTCATTAACACCATCATCACTTCTTGTGCCAACTTCTTCTTTACAACCATGGATTGAAATGCAGGGAGACTCATACAAGAGAAAGACAATGTAGAGTCTGAATCTGATTTGTGGTACAATTTATTAGTATCACTTCATTATTCCCGTTCTTAATTTTCACAAGTTTTTCCTTATATTTGATCTCAGGGTCTGGTTCCTCATGCCAATCCATTCCCAATATCATATCAAACGACAAATTCTTTTTAATCTGCCAACATGGAGACAATAGGCTTTGCTAGATTCTTCACTCGCATACCCAAGTGCATCTTCTTTACAGCGCCTTCGGATATGGAGGGTCTAGCCGAGAGCGGGTCTAATATAGCACTTGTCCATGTCCTTGCAGTCTCTAGGTTTGCAAGCATCAACTCTTTGCCTTCTTAGCCCATGAGCTTCGTAGGTTAATGAGTTCAATCGTGTCACACGGCGTTCTCCTCCCGTAAGATCCCGGAAACCATCGAACACATTTTCTTGCAATGCCCAGGGTTTGCTCTTACATGGCGATGGTGGGATAGACTCTGGAGCCTGCTGGACACGGGAACGACCTGGCCATGGGACTGGAGGGCGATACTGTGCGAGACATGGACCTCCCCTTATCTAGTACCTTTGAAGATAACATGTTTAAAATAGGGAGGATAACTGTTATGTGGGCGATCTGGAGGAGACGCTGTATACACGTCATGGAGGGAGTCCGCATAGCCGGGGAGGAAATGACAGACATGATTAAACGATTCATACACCAAGAACTTATGACACAATGGCAGAAGGTCAAAAGTCATCTGGATCTGTGCCAAACAAAGAAGGATATAGAACAAAAAATTCGACAATTCTCGGGGGACTGGCTGGGCGGCGAGAACGGAGGTTGCATCGCTTCCATCAAGTGGGATGGCGGCCAAGCTCAGGAAGGCGAAGAAGGTAACCAGGACGGAAACCGGGAGCTGGTAAAAAAGACTACCAGATTTGTTTCAGAGATTGGACAACGGTGGGCCAAGAGGTTCCGTTACGGCCACCATCGGATTTTCCCGATCCCTTTCCACCCCATCAACTGGCTGTGGTGGACGTGCAATGGTATGGAGCGGAGTAAGCAGGACTGCAACAGGTTATATGCAGGGGCGCCAGCATCAGATGTTCCCAGCTCCCCTCCATCCTTTTTCACATTCTCATTTGGAGGAAGGAACCAGTTTGTAGCAGCAGATATCTGGCGCCTGGCATGGGGCGAAGAGGTTCCTGTCCCGATACAACCTGCTCAGTTAATCCTCTGGACCCCAGAGCAATCAATGCTGGCAGGGTTTTCTCTACTTCAGTCTGTATTTTCACTCTGTACATGGGATGCTGGACCCGCTTTCCAACAGGTGATGCTCCCCACCAATAGATGGAGCCTCTCCCCCGGTGCTAGCGGTGTTTGCTCTTACCAGCACTTCTAGCACTGGAGGGGGTTGTCTTGAGAAAAAAAAAAAAAAAGGTTAATGAGTTCAGTGCCAAGCTCATCAAGGGTCTAACTCGGGGGAAATCTACACATCATAGGTTCAGGGCGATCTGAGTGAGGGGCCAAGGAAGAGACATCCTTTTCCATAGGAGCTGAACGGTGGAAAGGGGTTTCTGGCGCCGGATCTACGTCTGTACCCTTTGGCTCAGTGGGAGCGGATGGTACTCCTATTGGCTGCTCCCTTTTGGGTTCCTCGTTGGAGGACACCATGCTATAATATGCCCTGCAGTGTCACACTTCAGGCACTGATGGTTATCCATCCTCTCCTGACATGTGTCCTCGGAAATGCCAATTTCTCCCAATGCCTTCCGAAACCTATGCCAGGATGAGTTGGAAAGGAATGTCTTCTCCTCCTATATCCATCTCCATTTCTATTATTGTTGCCACCCTTGCTTACAATTGTGGCGGTGACATCACCCTTTCCCGATTCCCCGCCCGCATTGGCTTGTCCCTCACTTCGTTCAAGGGGCCACCTTTTTGTGGTCTCGTCGTAAAAAACGACAAGGGTGTGGTCTTATGACTCTTATCGTTTTGGTCTCCATAGGATCCGTTTCCCTTGTCCACTCCCTTCCCTGACTTGGTAACCCCAGCGTAGGTGTTCACCTGCGACGTCATCTGTTCTCGCTGCAAAGTGAGATCCCAGAACTGCCTATACATATACTTACCCGATTTCGACTCGACATCCAGCTGTCCACGGATAGGTTCAGGTAAAGCTCACGAGTATATGTAGAGGACCTGATCATCATGGATGTTTAGTCCTGGTACCTGCATCAGACGATCCACTTCACGAGAGAGATCATCAACAGATGTCTAATGTCGCTGGTTGATGGGGGTAGCTGGTCAAACGCCTTGTCTGCTGCGGTCTTATCTAGAAATCTTTCTTTGATCTTCTTCATAAATTCCCTCAAATTCAAAGTCTTTGCCCAATCCCCAATAGACTCGAATCCGGTGGCGTTCGCTTTTCGACAATACCCATGCCTTGGCGTCTTCACCAAGACATGAGGTTTTGAACGCCACCTGGCAATCTTCGTCTAGCGGGGTCGTAGGGCAGTATGTCTGGACCTCAGCAATCCACAGCAGCAGGTGTTCTCCTTTTTTTCTGGTAAATGTGAATGGCAGTTTTATTTTCACATTTTCCCTCTTCACATCTCTTTTTGGGGTTTCATCTTTCGGGGTGGATTTCATTGCATCTCCCATCAGTTTCTTTACTGGTTCAAGCTTTTGTTCTTCCTCAGTCTTTTCCTGTTCTTCTCTTGTCATCTGCTGCTTTTGCCTGACCACATTGGTCAATGTTGCCAACTGGGCAGAAAACAGGTCTGTGTCAGCAATGACTTTGTATAACTTCGTAGGGGAACCAGGTAAGACATCATATTCTGAATGAGAGTTGCAACATCACTTCCATCTTCCATTTTTACCTTACTTCTGATTTCATTCATTTTTCTTTCTTCTCCTTCTCTCTTCTTCCTTTGCTGTTCCATGCCTTCCTTCTTCTTCTTCTCTCTTCTTCCTTTGCTGTTCCATGGCTTCCTTCTTCTTCTTCTCTCTTCTTCCTTTGCTGTTCCATGGCTTCCTTCTTCTACTTCTTCTCTCTTCTTCCTTTGCTGTTCCATGGCTTCCTTCTTCTTCTTCTTCTCTCTTCTTGCTTTGCTGTTCCATGGCTTCCTTCTTCTTCTTCTCTCTTCTTCCTTTGCTGTTCCATGGCTTCATTTTTACCAGTTAAGTCCACGTTAGCATCAATCAAATCATCAACGAGGTCAGTTCAGATCAGTGCCAATCAAAGGCCAAGACATGTGGTCTCAATGGGACACATCGTCCCACTAGTCTTCTGGTTTCGTCAGGCTGTTCTCGACAACCACAGCGGTTCTCTCTCCCTGATGACACATCAGCAATGCTTTCGCCAGCCAGACAATGCTCTCGCCAGTATGCCACGTAGGCAATGCTCTCGTCCGGCAATATGCCCCTTCAGCAAAGCTCTCGAGTCAATTTGCCACGTAGGCAGTGCTCTCGCCAGTCAATATGCCACGTCAGCGCTTGTTCTGTCATCCTCTTCAGCGCTTTTCAATTAATCACAGCATTTACTGGTGATTTATTCCCGCACGGGAACCAACCAGTGAGTGCCACGTCATCACAGGCATATGGTGAGAACCACTCTGCCTTTGCCACCTCAGCACCCCTTTCAGAGAGAGACTATCCTGGCGATTTATTCCCTTGCGGGAACCAGCCAGCGAGTGCCGCGTGGACATGAGCATATGGTTAAAACCACTCTGCAGGTGCCACGTCAGCACTCTATCAAAGAGATATCGTAAAACTTGAATAGCGTGGTCGTCTTCAATCGAGCAGCAAATCGGCGAGATGAGGCGAGTTTGCTCCGATACCAAATTGTAATGAGCCCAGTCTCGTCAATCAAACATATGAGATAGCAATGTCGTGCAATGACGTGAGGTAATCACTCCAGCGAGTCCATCAATTCGAAGTCGTTGAAGTACACAATCCCTCATTACCACGTGTGAAGTCCCCAAGTCAAGAGTATCTAGATTAGAAAACAAAGGGGGGAAGAAGAGACAGATGGAAGGAGAAGAATATCCTAGCAATCAATTCCTTCTTCTCCTCCAGGCTTCCCCACCTTTGCCACGTCAGCAATCTGTACACAATTTGTAGCTCCGTCTGGATTCGATTTTCGAATTCAGGTCGGCTTTTTTTTTTTTTTTTTTTTTTTTTTTTTTTTTTTTTTTTTTTTTTTTTTTTTTTTTTTTTTTTTTTTTTTTCTTAAGGCAGTTCATGGGTGCACCAGCTGAGCTAGGATGTATTTTTAGATCCCAGTTTCAGACCGGTGAAGTGGAATTCCTATCCTAGTTTTTTTTTGGTCCTTTTGGAACTAGCTTTGGAGGATGTGTATGTTGGAACCAGGGTTCGAACCGGTGTTCGCTTCTCAGGTTTGATTGATTCTTTTTGGTTTCTGTTAATTGTTTGTTGGGGTTATTTATGGGGTTGTTGTTGTCTTTTCAGGTCTGGGACCTTGGGGGGCAAGAGCGACTACGGGCATCATGGGCGACGTATTATCGCAACACGCACGCAGTTGTTATGGTTGTAGATAGCACAGACCGGGACCGGATAGGGTTGACAAAGAATGAGCTATTTAAACTGCTGGAAAGCGAAGAACTGGCGGGTGCGGTTGTACTGGTGTTCGCAAATAAACAAGATCTGAAGGAGGCGATGACGCCTGCAGAAATAAGTGATGCATTGTCTCTTCACAGCATCAAGAGGCACGATTGGCATATCCAGGCTTGCTGTGCCCTCACAGGCGAAGGGTTATGGGAAGGACTGGGCTGGGTAGCGCAGCACGTAACGGGAAACAAGCTGACGCAATGAGTAAGCGGATAGATCTCTGCGACCAGAACGCTTAGCGAGGGGGTCGTTTTGCCGGAGGAGGAGGTCGAGCCAGACTTTGTCATTGCCACTGCTTTTGCTGGGAGGAAGTCGTCGTCACCTCCGCCTGCTGTGAAATCTCATCTGTCAGATTGATCCCATAGATGGGCGCAGGCTGATGGATGGTCGAATGGTGAGCAACTTTGTGGGCTCCATGGTGGATCAGCTTGTGTCGCCGTGAAGAAGGTCATCATCGCCTGTGCCTTCTGTATTATCTCCTGCATCAGATAGGGTGCGATGGATGGATGTAGGTGGATGGGGATGGTCAGATCGTGAACGGGGTTATTGACTGAGTGGTTGGTTGATTTCTGTCGCTGGGGAGAAGCCGTCTCTGGTGCCTGCTGTACACGTTCTTTTTGTCGTTGCATGGATGCCTTGTGCAGGTGGATCGATGGTTGGAGGGTGAATTGCTTTGCTTGGTAAAGTGGTCGGCGGCACGGATCAAGACTTCTGAAAAAACGTCTGCTACGCTCGATGAGCTGATGACAACGCCCGGTTCAGCAGCTCTCTGATCGATCGAGCCGGGACAATGGTCGAGATGTCCAGTGGTGGAAATTTGAAACGTTATGGAAAATGACATGCCTGGGTGGGTGGGTGGGTGGGCGGGTGGGCGGCGTCTATTTTGTCCGTGCACGCCCATCTTGAAAGTCCAATGGAAGGTTAAGGATTTCAATTGTCTCGTCAGAGTTGCTGTCAGAGTTATGGGAGCACATGGTGTATGATTACAGTCATTCTCTGCCTACGGTTTACCGGGCAGCTCTATTTGACGATATATATACTAGAGCAAAGAAGGAAAGCAAAGTTACGCTGAGCACTCAACCAGCCGTTACTTTCTGGAGCTGATGAGCACAGTGTCTTGACACTTCTGCCACAGGTAAGCATCCGTCTACTTGGACGGACATAACACTCTTTCACAGAGAGCAATCTTGTGTGTGTGTGCAAAGCCTTGGCTTTAGTGCATCCAGAATACATGGAGAGAGAGAGAGAGAGAGAGAGAGAGAGAGAGAGAGAGAGAGAGAGAGAGAGAGAGAGAGAGAGAGAGAGGGGACTTCTCCGTCAAACTTTCTTCAGCTCTTGTTAACTTTACATAACGTACATCTTCACTCAGAGGGAAGGTGATTGATGTGAGCGACGATTGAAGAAGAGCAGCGACGGACAACAACATGCAGAAGGACGGACTCAGCGGCAGCAAACTGAACCATGAATCTAACCGGAGTAAATGAATGACATAAGGTTGCAGTATGCGTATATATATACCCTGAAGACTAGGGTGCCACTCTCGAAATCCAGTCCTACCTGTTCCGGAATGTACAAGTGGTCAGCAATTTAGCAAGATGGCTGAAGGGCTGGGCGCTGAGCCCAAGGAGTACAGTCACACACACACACACACACACACACACACACACACACACACACA